ACTGGTTTGATTTCCACATGCGGAGATGATCGTTTGGTAGAGGAGGAAATTTTTTTTATCTGAGAATCTTGATTTTCAGAAATATAATTTTTACATTCAGTTTACAATAATATCCAAAAATTAAAAATTTAAAAAAATTCGATTTCTCGAAAATCCTAAGAAATGACTCGTAGCAAACGGAAGTCAAACTTGGGCCTTTGAAACATTATTATTATTATTATTGTAAAATCTGGTTAAATTGAAACCGACTTCCAGATAATCGCTTTTTCCTCTATCAATGAGAAGGCATTTGGTCATGTTTATCCCCTGCAGCCCAAAGCACATCTTTCTGTAATTGATAAAGGCTTAAAGCCCAGGATAATAGAAAAGGCATATGACTTTATAAATTAAGCCCATATGGCCGCTTCACCTGCAGTCCATCTTCATTATTATCCTCTGTATTAATATAAGGGAAATAGTTTGTACGATCAATTAGGTTTTAATATTTATAAATTTGTTTTGGAAATTTTCAGTTTGACATATGTAACTTTATCACTTTCTTAATTAATTTTTTATATAGGTAATACTTATATTATATTAATCACAATAATGATAATATTGTTGGGATTTATTATTTATTCTTTACCAAAAAGATCTTTGGATTTTAGTGAATGAGAAGAACACACGAGAATCTACAGTTAAGTTTTTTTTTTTTTTTTTAATTCCCTATTTATGCTCTCTTTAGTCATCTTGAATATACTTTGAAAGATTTATCCACCCCATAGCTACAATAGACGAGGAGACTCATCTGTAGTCGTTCTCTATCACGAGACATGACAAATAATGAAGGAAGCCTTGTGCGTCTACATATAGAAAGGTACACCCTTTGCAGCATGAGACAATAATATTTCGTAAGCATATTAAACACACTTGATTCTACACGCGATCCGGCTTTTCTTGCAAATGCACTAAAAAAATTCACACTAATCATATTTACATACCGTTTTTTCATCTAAATCTTTGTATTCACTAGGCTACTAGAACACTTGAGTCTTAATTAATTTTAGAATTTGGATATCTTTACACAGCTTCTTTTTTTTTTATAAATTTGAATACATTATAGTGTATCTTTTTTAGATAAGGTTAATTAAGTGTATAATAACTTCTTCTGCTTTTTAGTAGAATAAAGGGGCTAGGCCCAAAAGAAAATAAATTAAATAATAGAGTCTATAACTATTTCTGCAGTGTATAATAACTTTGAAAATATAGATTGTACAAAATTGAAAGTTTAAAATACAAGTATAATAGGTGACTGGTTTGTCTAACATGAATAATGCGTCACACATTTTTCTGTATTGAGTTTTGTATAACAAATGTTATATGCTTAGTATTTTCTTAACTCAGTTGAATGTAACTTGATTGTTTGAATACAACTAACTCATCAGTTCTATTCTATAAGCTTCATCCTTGGATTTCTTATGTGACTCTAAACTTTTGTAGGGAGAATTAGAATAACGGATCAGCTTGTAAGAATGACTTGATAGAGAGAATCCGTTGATTGGTGATATTATTTTTATCATGAAGTAGTAAATCATTAAATATCATAGAATAAAATTAACTAAACAATTAACTTTTTTTATCTTTTAAATTAAAATACAAGTTGGCTGTTGCTTCTAACTTTTTTCTCTGTTTTAATTTTTAATGCTGTAAGGGTATTTATCGGGTTTTCTTTTTCTTGTTCAATAGTTTTATAACATAACACCTTTACTAGATTCTTTATTTCATTGTACAAAAACATGAGACAATTACTCAACTTCAATGGATTCTTTGTTTTTAATGAAGTCTGTGTAATAAGATCATCATAAGGTATAGACTTTATACACGTCTAAACTTTCCCATTTCATCAATCACTCATAATGTTTATACTTAAAGTCTCTCAATCTTACCATGTGAATTTCGAAATAGATGAAATCCGACTTGTAATACATGTAGGTTGTAAAAGTGAGAAGAATGTAATTTCTAAGTGTAGAGTATATATCATCATTGCAAATTGGCAATCAAGTGGTAGTAGGGAAAAGAGAAAAATGTTGATGCATATGAATATGCGTGAGTTGAGTAAACGTAGAAGGGGGACCACTGATTATTTCATCATGAAGCATTATGAAGCACCTCATACTCAACGGAAAAATTGTATATTCATGCGGATCTAATCTGGGGACAAGGAATAGGCACCAGATATGTGAAAGTGAGGACTCTGCCTTTGGTGGTCCTGCTACATTGCCTTCACATTTAGACATGAGGACAAAGAAACCTCAACCCTTCTGATTCACAATCTTTTGTCTTTTTAGTTTTTAATTATTACGAATAATACATAATTATAATATGTAAAAAAAAAAATTCCTTTTTATCAATCACTTCAGTTGACATGAAAAGAGAAAAAAAAAAATTCACATTATATTTATGTACTACTCGTAATACATAATGTTAAAAATTAAGAGGATACAATTTATATATTTTATAAGGATACACATTTAACCCATTTATAAAAGATGTTAGGCATCAAATAAAATAATAAAATAGGACAAATTATAATCACCAACTTTGTCAGCACAATTTTGCAACCAACCACAACGTGTCCGTGATTAATGAAGATAATCAAACCTCTTTTGTGTCATTATCTGTCTTAAAAGTCCTAATTACTTAATTTTGAACTTCTTAAGCACGTGCCGCACCAACTTTAATGGTATTATCTGAAGTTCAAAACAATGGTCGGACACAAGTTTCAATGGATGGATTGAAGTCATAAGTCATAATAGTCAGCAAGATCCAAAAACATAATCACATGTAATCATGTGACTCCTATAGCTAGGGTGTAACATAGTAGTTAAACCTAGGGAGAATACTGTAGATGGTAAATAAATAAAAAATGTAATAACAAATTAATTATAGGATGTATGAGCAAAGATCCATCAGGGACATTCCTGGGAACATTACTCAGCCTTACAAGTGCATGAATTAATTATGCAGATAATCACTTTTCCTCTTATTATTATATTTGATTGCCGTGAGATTTGAGAACGTAAGAAACGGTTCACCAAAACATTGGAGTTTTAAACTCTCTAATAATAACACATGTTCAAGGAAAGTTTTTGATTTTACTCCTCTTGACTTCAAGGCCCTCTAGATTTTGGTGTCGCGGATTTCTGAGAAACTATGATATGATTCTTTGTTATCATTCGAGTTTGACTCTGTGTGTGTGTTTTTATATGATTTTTCTTTGTTCCCAGGATGTTTTTTCATTTTAAAATAATTCAAAACCATATGCATATATCTGTATTCAATAATGTAATGAATTCTATGGGCCCAGGGAATATAAAGTACGGCGACTGATACACATGGTGTTCAGTTTACCACATAGTAAAATAATAATCTTTTTCACTGCCATGCAGTCCTCTATCATTTATAGGTAAATGTATAAATAAAAAAAGAGAAAAATTACCTTAATCTTTCAGATGAAATGACGGTGTGCATAATGAAGGTCTAATTTTAATGGCATATGAAAATTACCTTAATTTTAACGCTATTAAGAGAAAGTTGGCATCTAACGTTTGAAATAAAAACATAGCTCAATTAGTTCTTATGTAACCCCCAGAAAACAAAAACAACAACAAAAACAAAATTCTTGACTTCTCCAGAGGCAAGGAGAACGTCTACGAAAATGAGTGTTCCTTTTCAAACCCATGAAGCTTTACATCTTCCATGAACTGGAAACATCATAATCGTGGATCTCAAAAAATCATTCACGGTTTTCTTTAAATAAAGTTAGGTAACAGGCATAATTAATTAAGCTATTTGTACTAGTAGGTGATCTCCGAGAAATTCCTAGGCGTTTGGTACAAAGATTTTGGTCGAATTTTCGGAAAACTGAATTTTTTAATTTTAAATTTTAAGATATTATCGTAAACTGAATATAAAAATCATATTTTTGAAAATCGAGATTCCCGAACAAAAAAAAAATTCTCCTCTACCAAACTCCCCTATTAATGCTCTTTTAAATCAAAAAAAATTCTGACTGGATGATATTAAATAGAGGGTTTAATATTTATCTTTTTAAAAGATACAGGTTCTTTTTAATTTTTAACACTATGCATTAAATAATGAATTTTATAAGAATTATGTTGTAGGAAAAATAATTGTGTAATGTTATAGAGATTCATTTTGCGTATCGTAATTTCTTTTTTTTCTTTTTTTTCTTTTTTCTTCAAAAAATGTGAGCTCCACAAATGTTGTGTGTGTAGGAAAATTTGTTGTGTCATGTTAAATGACAAACACAAATCCCTTAAATAATCAACTAAAGTGATTGAAGAAAAAATAAAACTTTTCATATTATAACTATATATTATCCATAATACATAATATTAAAATTTAAAATAACACAATTTATATAAGGAGAAACCTATTTCCCTCATAATTTTAAAAGATAATAATAGCCCACATATCTTGTGTTACCCATTTCTTTATACGGAGTGAGTGCAATTAAAGTTAATCACGGCTACACCCGACAACACTTGGAAATTCACGCCAACTCACCATTTAGTGCTTGCTTTCACTTTCAGTATTAAATTTGTTACAACTTACAATAATAAAAATTCAAAATCCACTTGGACAAAGTCATTCCATGATTCCATCAAATAGATATTTTCAAGTACGAACAATATTGTAAGCTATATGTCAATTTACTCTCCCAATCTCTTTCAGTTATAAAGTAGGGATCTAAAACGAGAAACAAGAGAGCTTGTTCTTTCCAAGGTACAATATTGTAAGCTAAAATGTAAAGTTTCTTCCCCAATCTCCTTTCAACCATAAAGTATGGCTCTAATATCTGAAACAAGAAAGGTTGCTCTTTCCCCTTTCTGTACCTACTTTCTCCTTCCCCATGGCCCGGGGGAATCAAATTGTTTTCACATCAAGTTTGATAGCTGTCTTTTATATGTCAGACAAACGCTAAAGAAAAAATCCAGAACAATGTTACTCTGTTAACATAGAAAGAGCAAGGCAAACTTGTTCATTTTCAAGGAAAAAAAAAAGCACATAATTCATAGAGCACATAAAAGTCGAGCAAAAGCATTAGTTACAGAAAGTATATAAAACCATGCAATTGATAACAAGTAATACAGTTTATGGAGATGGAGGCCAATACATTCCTGCATCTTCAATCTCTTCATAGAATCTGAAATGAAGTTCATCTAGCCTGCCTCCCTCATCCCACATCCCATCATAACTGTCACTGTCATCAACGTAGTATTCACCAACGCCACCATCCACAAAGTCCCAGGCCAAAAACTCAGAAGAATCTGATATATCTGAGAAATCATCCCAGCCATCACTCTCATAAGTGTCAAGAACAAAAGGCCCCAAAACCTTCAGCTTTGGAAACTTCTGCTTCACGAACAAGTTGTCCAGTGTGACACCCCAACAACCCCTCTGATCCAAAAATTCAAGCTTAGGACAGTTTGAAAGTATTTGAAGAACACCCGAAGTGCTGATAAGATGATAAGCCATTTCAAGATGCTTGAGCTTAGGCATTGTGGAGGCAATTGCATATGCTTCATCATCCTGTAACGGCTTGCCCGCGGTATCCAATGGATGCATGTTCCGACACAACCCTTCTAGTAGCTTGCAGTTCTTGCCAATTATCTCTAGCGCACTGGCACCAATTTTAATACAGTAGCTCACATCCAAGAAAGAAATCATAGAAAGCCTCCCAGCAATCTGTTCCACAATGGAATCACTCATACTGCTCCTTGGCAGCCGCAAAGTCTGGAGGGAGCAGGCACTTGCAAAAGAGTAAAAGGATACTATATAAGAAAGATGGCTAATAAGGTTCAACTAATACAGCCTTCGTTAGTTTTTAGTATACAATGAAGATATCAACATAAGTTAATAAAGACTAGTTATCTAATTTTAATGTGAACCAGCAGCAACATAGAGAATATGACAAATTTGTATCCAATTTTTAGACTTTTAACAATTAGCATAATAATCAGGATTCAGGAAAGTATTTATCTACAAGATTTGATCTAAACTGCAATAAACTCCATGGAATGTGTCATGTTAATAAAAACTATGCAGTTATGCTTACTTTTCAGCAATGAAAGTGAAAATCCTCTCAGTTTGGAGACCAGAAACACAGAGCTTGCGTAGGGATCCACAACTCCTTGTGATAAGCATCTCAATCATGCGGTCAAGTTGATCAGGCTGGCAGCGGTTGCTCCACTCCTTAATGTCTATCTCTTGCCAGCAGTAAGGTCCAGTTACTGCTTTAGCCCATGATTTACATACCCTGGGGATCACCGTCACTCTCTCCTGGAGAGAAAGATTGGTGAAGATTACCCCTAAGGCATCAGGAATCAATTCATCCCACCTACGAAAATCAGATGTTTCTCCCATACAATCTACAAAAGAATAAAATTTTGCATTTTCATGGTTTCTGGTTGAGGTTCAGAAATTAAATTTAAAGATGCATATTAAAGAGGCATTACCCCAAAAAATTAGAAATCTTCAGTTTGCCCAAAAGAAGAGGGGAAAAGAGAGAAAAAGAAATGGAACTCTTCATAGAAAAAACCTAAAAGCATAGTGAATGACCAGACTCACATACATCGAAATATCTGTCACAAGCATACGAATGAAAAGTTCAAACTCAAGCAATGTTTGAAAAACTAGGTAATGATTGCCTTTTGGAAAGGATTAGAGGAGATTGAAACATGGAAGATAAAGGAAATATCTATAGCACGAAATAAAATTTAGCAAATTGAAGATAATTAAAAAAAAAAAAAAAATCAACTTTAAATGTTCATCTCACAGAACCACCACAACATGAAATTGGGAGAATAAAAATGCCAGAACAGTTTTCCTTAACACAGATTATTGAAATTCCAGTACTTGTTTATTTTTGCAAAGACACAGCTACTGCGAACTTGGGAAAATGCTAACAATCACATAAATCCAAACCATTCAGAGAGCGTCAGAGACATCACTCCAGGCTTTTGCTAAGAAAACTTGGAGGAAAAAACTAAAATAAAACTTTTTAGTTTCAAGATAGCAAATCTTGAGTAACTAAAGAATTACCAGATTGAAATTTCTTTTTTTTTTTTTTCTTTTTTTTTTTTGAGAGAGTGTGCAAATGAGTAACATGCAACAAAAAGATAGGATATTTACCAGTGGAGAGATCTTTGGTCAGTAGACAGTGTTCCTTCTAGGACCTGAATTACGGAAACATTCACCGGTTAATCCGCCACATGCGCCGGGAAAAAGAGAGGAGAAAAAGAGGGGTAAGAGAGAAAAAGGAGTAAAGCCACAAAACAAAGACACATCTACCCACCTACTCTCCGCTTCAAAGTAACCATCAGCAACAAGAACAAGAGTAAAGACACAGTAGCGTTACCAAGGTACCTGTTGCCTGTTGAGTAGACACTGGAAAAAAGGCCCAAATACAGGAACGGACTTGAAAACAGATAACAGTCCTTTTTTAACCAAATAAATAAATAAAAATTAGTCAGTTATATTTCTATAAGCTGGAAAAGAAATCATAGCCCCAAGGATAAAATATCGGTGTTTTTTACTGCAATACTCAAACTGTCACAAAAAAAAAAAAAAAAAAATTAATATTCCTTTTTTTTATTAGTGGAATAACATAAATTTGTCGTTAAAAGATCGATTTTGGCAAAGTAAATAAGGTAGATATTAATGGCATCGGCGTCAGTACAATTTATTATTTGTAAGACTATTATAGATCTAAGTTTTGTTTGCCGTGTGTGCGCATTGTAAAATGACAGACAGTAAATATGGAGAGAGGGAGTGAGAGAGAGAGAGAGAAGAACAAGACTCACGAGTTACAACTTACAAACAACTGGGTTTGGAGAAGGGAGGTACCGACACGAGTCGGTAACTCAGAGGTTGACAGCAACTCAGATCAAGATGGTGTCTGAACTCTGAGGCTCTGACCCTGAGTCCTACCTACAAAGGGCATTACTGTGGCCATGTGAGAATGGCACGGGTTGCTGGTTAATTAACACTCAAGTTGATCCTTAAATCAAGTTCTTAGTTTAAAACCTAACATTTTCGATGTGACTCTTTGTGGGCTCTCAATTTTTAAAAATTTATTATAAATTCACTATCTTCAATGCAGTAAAATTTACTTTTATTAATGAATAAAAAAATTTGAGTACTCCATAAAAATTTTGGGGTAAATATTCTAGCAGTATGTTTATTTATAAATTTTATAAGAGTTATGTTTAGAAAAATAATTGTATTATGTTATAAAGATTTGTTTTATGTGTTATAATTTTTTTTCTTTCTAAAATATACAGATCTCACAAAATATTGTGTGTGTAAAAAAAAATTTGTGACCATATTAAATGATACAATGCAAATCCTTTATTTATAGAGTAATACTAATATGTTTCCCCTTTCATATATAAGAAAGACAAATTGATTCCCACGGAGATATGGAAAAATATGCAGAGCATTTTTTTTTATTATTATTTAATAATTATGGGCCTATCGAAAATCTGTGTAATCTGCAAGGTTGTGTTTGCTGCAAGTTTATAACTTCTGCTTTCCCTTATTTATACCTAGTATAAATGGAGAGAATATTTTTTTTACCGAAAAATAATTATCTTATATTGTAAAAATAGAATTATAAGTGAAACTCATAGATAAGAAAAAAGAGAAAAAAGAAAAAGCGAGACTCATCTATTTTTTGTGTGTATAAAAATTTTAATTATCTCATACAAAATGAAATAAATATAACTCATAAATAAAAGGATAGATTTTTTAATTCATATAAATATATTGTTTTATTTTTATTTTTTCTTTCATTTGGATTTAATTTTTAGTTTGCTCAGTAATGATTTGACAAATACATTGTCACGTTACAATTATAGTATATCTTAAATGTCTTACGGGAAATGTGTCTCTCATTATTGCATGAGATAATTTGTTTCATGTAACAAAAAAAAAATAAGAGGGACACATTTTTTTTAATGGGTCCCATTTATTTTCTTTTTGGGTTACAATACAAATTATATTATGCAATATGAAAAAATCAAACTCATGTCTTATATGTCATTAATCTTTTTGAAATAGAAATTAACTTATAAATGCCACGTGACTTTATCTCCTCTAAGGCCCGGTGTCTTGTCCCTGCTTGCAACATGTTCTAAATTAGAGCCCAACAGTTCTTCTAGCTGCGAGTAGATTTTGATGCAACGGAGGGAATCTTACTAAAAAAAAAATGGAAAAAAATAACTATAAAGATAATAATAGTATAAATACGTTACCTTTTTATTATATTTGACAAAAAAATGTTTGAAGTGATCAGTACATGTAGTATCAAAAATATTTTCTGTAGTTGCAAAGTAGTGAGAAGATAATGGCCTTGACCTGCAAATCTTCATCATCGTTCTCGAACTCACGAATCACGAAAAAGAATGTGTGTGTGGAGATACTATGGCATATTTAAATTCAATTTCTAAAATTAGTTTTTTTTTTATAGAAAAAATAAAAAATAATTGATAAGATCTGTTTTGTAAAATTAATTCTAAAAATTAAATTATTTTTTAATTTTAAGAATCAATATCTCATTTATTTTTATTTTGTATTTTTATTTTTAACTTTTAACTTTCAAAAAAAAAATCAAATAGTATCTGAATGTCATGGATCAAAAATATTTTTTCAAGTTATCACGCCACCAAACTCCTATAATACTCAACGAGTATGGTTTGACTACATGGCACGATCAATTAAGGCAACAGAACTCACTATAAACTATAGCAACTTTTGCGGTCAAAGTGGCAGGCTTTTTTTTTTGCAAAAGTTGAACATGTAATGTTTTGTGGAATGATAAGTGTCAGGAAGGGTTTCAAGGGAAGACACTTATACGACTTCACTTAGTATCATATTTAAATAATTTAAAAATCTTTTTTTCAAGTGTGAAATATAATATTGGTATGTTTCCTCTCAACCGAGTATCTAGGTTAAAATACTCACTTCGTCACTAGCCAATCACCAAATAGCTCGAGCTCAACCCGTAACTGATATCATTGTTAGGCGGATCCAAGGGCAGCCCATGGCGGGAGACAACCATCCATGGGTTAAGGTTACATCAACTATAGAAAGTAGGTCTGATACTATATCTCAACTCAAAATTTTAAGGCATTAGATATATGGATCCTCTTACTTATATGGATTTCACTTAATTTATTATCAACCAATATGAGACTCATCACACTTGAATAATCCAACAATAAGTAATATGATGTGTATTATTGTCTTATGGAATGTCGCTCTGAGTTTAGGTGATAAAGGGTTATGAAATATCAAATATCACTACCAATTATTCGGATTATGATTATTTGTATATTGTGGGCTTAGGGTGGTTTTATTGAAAATTTGAATCTCGAGTAAGTGGTTTTATCAATGAAGAGAAAAATAAACAAGGATTGACATTAGTTGCTTTTCTTTTTCTCTGAGACAAATTCAATTAAGTTATGATATACATTAAAGGATTTTATTAATTTCATGCTAAAGGAGATAAGTTATCTCATGTTATAGAGATAAACTTGTGAGTTCTATCATTTGAAAATATAAAAAGAAAAGAAAAGAAGAAGACACAATTATCGAAAGATATAAAGGAAAAAAAACTTAACTCATGTAATATGAAAATAGTTTTTCCCTACATTAAAATATATTGGAAGTGAACATAGGTTGATAGTTTGCTTTATTTTGCCTCTTTGTAGACTGAGAAGTTATGCCTCCAGCTCTTTCAGCTCCAGCAGGCCCTTTAGTTCTAGTAGGTTCAGTTCCAATGCCTTCACTAGCACCTTCGCTTGTAGTAGCCCCTTTAGTTGTCCTTCCTTATCTTAACAACCATATAACTTAAGTTATGATGTGTATTAAATAAATTGAAAGAAATATAGGTAGATTTATGATGTGTATTAAATATAGTCAAAGAACATAAGTAGATATTTACCTTATTTCGCCTCTTTGTAGGTTGAGAAGTTGTGCCTTTTCCTTGTAGGTTCAGGATCTACTCTGGGATTCTTCATTTGCTGCTGCCATGGCCATATTGATAGAATGTTACACGTCTATTGGATGTGTGTCATGTGAGTAGCTCATTGTTGGAATCGGCACAATCACGCACACACGATCAAAATTGAAAAGAGAGAATGTTGGAATCGGCACGATCACGCACACACGATCGAAATTGAAAAGAGAGAAAGGAAAAAAAAGTGAGAACAATTTATCCTAGTTCATTTAATGTAGGCTACGTCCAGCAATATGTATTATATTCTCTTTACTAAAACTCGTTACAAATTACTAAGTTTACATGAATAATATGAATAGGATTAGAAACCCTAAACAACAATACCTATTCATGGAATAATGGGCTCATGGCCAAACTACTAAGAAAACAGAAAAAAAATAAAATAAGCCAAAAGACTCACAACAGGAGTCACACACACAAACTACTATTCATGGGACATCATTGACTTTCTCTGCATCCCACCAACAAGAGTCATCATCTAAATATGAAGTATGAGTCATACTCAACACTCGTTACCGTAGTTTTATGGAATAACAAGATTTTTTTTCCCTTCACTTTTTATACTTCTTAATGAATGACACACAAACACAAGGCCGATTGGTAGTCACTGACTTCTTTCTCATTTTTTGTCATGTACCTTGTTTTGCAGTCTCAAGCTCTGCTTTTAGAATTATCAAACCCATCATCACGTCCAGTCCTCTCCTCCTCACTGTCATTAAAGTGTTTTCCCTTCACACATCATATTACTTATCATTTAGAACATCTTCACCCACATCGCCATTACCCATCCTGTCATCCATAGCATCAATGTGCATCTATGTTGTATCCTTCACCTACCTCTGCCAATCCCCTAAACCTCCCCCATTCATCCATATGTTTATGGAGGAGGATATTTTGACTACCAAAAGTGTCCACTACCACCTTACTACCTATCAAATCACCATTGGATCAAAGAGAGAGAATGTTAAAAAAAAATTGAAGAGAAAGAAAATGTTAATCCAATGATGATTAGATAGGTAGTAAGATGGTAGTGAAAACTTTTGGTAGTCAAAATATCTTCCTTCATGTTTATATACCAAAATAAGTTCTTCAAAATAGTTGGTACTGCTACAACTTGTACTACATAAAGCTCAACTTCACATCTATTCTGTACTGTATACGTAGCCATCCCTAAGGCATAAGTGTTAAATGAAATGTATTTTAACTCATCTTCAAAGCACTACCCAGGCACTTTCCCCCATTGTTTTGAACTATTATCATCTACCATGACTCGTTAACTAATAACAAAGCTTCAAAATAGGACCAATTGTCAATGTCTAAGTTATGAAATAATGGACTTCTCCCCCTTCTAATTGACTTTGGGTTCATTAACAAATGATCCCCTTTGATAAATTACTACTGAAAAACGCTGTCTACATGTGCACAAAGAAAAAGAAAGTAATTAAATCCATAATTTTTTTGTTAGCGTGGCAGAAATTTTTTTTCTCAGAAATATTAAACCCATAATTTTGTGTGTTAAACCCAACTTCATGGGATCTAACGGAATTGAAGCCGTTAGCATAATTATCACATTTAGTATAATTAGTATATTAATAAGTCAGTTATAGAATAAATATTATTAGAATTGATTTAGATTTTATAATTAATACTGTACGGTCTTATGAGTTATGACTGTTATGTGTAACTATTATTTGAAAATACACCGAGAATAATACGTAGTATCTGTCACAGGTAGACTTTATCATGATATTAGGTTTCTGATTTCATGATAAAGTATTTGAAAGACTTTAGGGGAGTGGTTGTTTGTGGATATGAATATCCAAAATATTCTGGAAAATGAAGTTAACGTAGACAAGACATGAAGGAGGAGAAGAACAGGCTGGTCCACTAATGGGCTTTTTAATTTTAGTTTCAGAATGGGTCAGGTCAGATGGCCATGTATCATTTGCGTTACATTGGCCCTGGGTTGTATTTAAATAATTAAATGTAGCATATTGGTGGTCCAACCATAGATACACATTATTCAGTTGCCATGCGTTTCACTTGTTATAAAACTAAGGAGTGAAACACAAAATCCTTTATCCTATGTATGATGTTAAAATTTTAACAAATTAAATGTTGAGGTAAATATTTGTCCCTTACCGCAGCACAAAATATGAAAAGAATTAAAAAAACCATCTCTTGCTCTCTTTATGAACGTCGTTTCTCTTCCAGCACGAGAATGCTATTTGCTCTCTCCCCTTTTGAACGAAGAAGAAACGAGGCTGCATATTGGAAATTAAGGAGGAAGAAGATGACGTTGTAGATTAAGAGCAAATAATAAACAAAATATTAATTAAAAAAGACTTTATATCTTATATCTATACTATAAAAATTAATTAAAATATATCAATATTAATAATAATTATAGCATGAAAAAAATTAAATAATAAATATTAAAATATTACCCAATACATTTTCTAAGCATAAAACAAATTAAACAAAACGATTTAAAATTTAGAGTATCGTACATGTACTACTAGCTATGATGCATCGATACAATCAACTTAGTGGTTCTACCGGTTTTCAATTTCGAAGTGATTATCGGTATGGACTGGTTGGTGGAGAACAGGATCACCTTGGACTGTCAAGCAGGAAAGATTATTGTTCCTCCGAGAGACGGTAAATTTCTGTCTTTTGCTACTATCTCTTTGTTACATGTTAAGATAGAACTTCTTCGAGGAAGCAATACATGCTATCGGTGTGGTCAGCCAGGACACATCGCTCCTTATTGTCCTAGATATTCTAATCAGCAACCTGCTCAGGCTCGAGTGTTCACCCTTGATGCTAATGAGGCCCAGAAGTATCCAAATCTAATTCGAGGTAACATAATTCTTAATGGTTGTCCTATTTCTGCTATTTTTGATTCTGGAGCATCTGGTTCGTTTATGGCAAAACATATAGCTATGAAGACAGGTATTACCCCAGCTCCATTACCCTATGAGTTACACATCAGTACCCCCACTGGAGGATCATGCACAGCCTCAGAAATTTGCAGAGGCGTTCTTTTGAAGTAAGAGGGTTTAACTCTTCTGAATCTTGTAGCTTTAAAACAACACTCAAACCCTATTCTTTCATCACCCAAACGTTGCATGGAGAGCAAAGAGGGACCTTGTTAAATTTCCTCAGCCGTGACCATCAAAGAAGAGAGAACTCAAATTCATCATCAATCCCAAATTTGTTCCATCACCCAAACCGTGATTTCCTAGTAGAGGTAGCACCCAGGAAAAATTCAGAATACATTTTTTGTTCTCACCTTCTTGACCGTAGACACTTGAAGAAGATTCTAAGAGTAATCAAGAAAATTATACACTTCGCTTACCTTTCCCTTGTAACCGTGGAGTCATAAAGAAGCCAACACTACTAAGCTTTGATCATCTCTTCGATTTTCACTAGTGCTTCTTCAAGAGGTAGGCACTAAAATTCCCTTTATTCTTTTTGCGTAAACCGTGAGGCATTATAGAAAGAAGGCTTTTCTCTGTACGTTTCTAGGTTCTGCCTTTATACACCCTTGAGTCATAACTTAAAAAGCTCTAGATATAAACCTAAGAATGATTCTAAAAATTAATAAGTGGTACTGTTGCATGTTATATAGATGTATCTAGAATTTCTTTAAGCAAAGTTATGTGGACAACACTTTATACTCTCTTTAGCGCACCAAATAGGGTCAGTAAGCCTTAGGATAATCTATCTTCTTGACAAAGGGTTGCTGTACATATGGTTTCTACCCTCCTTTGTGGCTGAAAAAAAAAAAAAAACGCTGTTGTTTACCCACTGTCCACTGTTTCACTGAAAACAATTATGGGCAGCATGATATCTTTGTATTTTTTTTGATTTACGTTGCTGGAAAATATTTTTAGACAGCTTACTATACCTGTTGTAGCGCACAATTAGGAGATAAGAGGAGATAATGGATTGAAAATATTTTAGGCCTTGAGAATAATGAAAACCGAACCTATATTAGATGTACTTCCCGATACTCCAATACTCATTCAAAGACTCAAAAAATGTTCAAAGGTTACGTTGCGTTGCATTTTGAGTTCCAGCTATTAGATTCGTTAGATTACGATTATTATTTTATTGAGTTTAATATAAACATTTGAGATATATTATGTTTCTTTGCAAAATTGATGAGTATTATAAGTTTAGCTTTATTTTTTTGTTAAATTATTGAATACTAAATATAATATACACCACATAAATTAAAAATATCATATAATATCAAAACGTATCCTAACGTGTCAAAATTTAACATTTTTTATAATTAACGTGTCTGAATGTCGTGTCGTATTGTATCGCGTGTCTCGTGTCAATGTCGGTGCAAGATAGACTACCCGATATCATATAAAATAAAAATTTACGGTGACTCAACTACTTGTCGCGTGACTTTGTGCATCAAATGCACCTAGGCTTCAATCCAATGAAAACATTTTACGGTGCCAAGTTCAAATAGAACCAGCCGTGTCCACCAAAACAACTCAGTTAAATTAGCCTCTTTCATTTTTGGTTCATGGAATCCTTATGAAGATGTCTTTTTACCGTCACAAATAGCAGATTCGAACCTGCTTGATCTACAACTGTATTTTTTTTAATTTTTTTGACAAAAATATCATTCCAACATTATCCTTATTCTTATATTGTATGTCATACGTGTTTAGTAGGAAAAAGAAATAAAGAAATAAAGAAATAAACAAAGAAAGAGAGCCCCTTTCTTTGTCTCACGCATGCACCCAAATTAAAAGAATTATTATGAAATTAGACGAGTGTCTTGCAGGTGGAAGTGTTGGGGTCCCACATAGCCGGCAACAGAAATTTGCGACCCTTCACACCCACTGCGTTGTAGCTAGCTCCCGTCGTTTTGTCCACCAAAACGTTACCCGGGTAACCCGGATACGCCCCTTTCCCGAAAATGCCGGTGCACGCCGACACAGCCTCCAGCGGCGCCACCGCCGACCCTTCGTAGTACCCATTCTTGAACGGGTTCGTCACCGTTCCCGCCAGAACCGTCGCCAAGCTTATCAACATTCCGTCCACCCCGACGTCGCCGTTAGGCGGAACTAACGGCGGAGTCTGTGGGCCGTACACTGGCTGGTGGAACGGCCACGCGCACTCCCCCGGGCACTGCGCCATCGGGTTACCCACCCAAGCGTAGACAGCCTTACTCTTCTCGACCCGACCCGAATCGTGGGTCCCGCACTGGTTCATGCAGAAATCCTCAACCGCCACGTCAGCGGCAGTGAGCACGACGCGAATTTCTTTACCGCGCGTTTTTGTTACCGTTTTGGAAGCGAGGGCTACGAGCTGCGTCGTTTTGAGTGATTTGCCGAGGGAGTAAGTGTCGTCGAGGATCTGTTTCCCTACGGCGAGGGTGCAGGGACCTCCTCTGTATCTGGCGGTGGTTTGCCACCATGATCGGACGGAGGGAGATGGAGCATGGTAAGCAGAGCTAAGGGATTTGATGAAGTCAATGATGATGGAGCGTTGGGTAGGGGTGAAGTTTCCATACCAGAGGACATGAACGGTGACGTTTCCCTTTAGGAGTGGACCCTTATGATCCTTGAGAACAATCGGTTCTGGCTGAACCAAAGCCAGCATGCGATTGAAGGGTGTAGCTTCATAACTGTTTGGGAGATTAGATAAAACGAATAGAATGGAGGTAACAAAAAGTGTGAAGCTGAAAGGATGAAGAAAAGCCATTGCTGATTTGCTTAATTAGCTGGTTGGAGTAGTACTGTCAGATAAATTTCAACTTGAAACGAGTATTTATATGATTTCGAAATGGTTTGATTAATATTAACTTTGTAGGAACCGCGTAGGTTTGACAATTAACATAACGGAACCTACGTGCGCGGATGAATCTGATCCACCAATTATTGGACATAGATATAATATTGAAGGCCAAGGCCTTTTCTAGGAACATCTTCTTGATGTTTTGCACCTGTGATTATCGTTACGTTCTTATCCTAATCCGGTATATATTTAACGTAAATCATATGTTCATTTAAATGAAATTCGAGTTATGCAATATTGTGTATATTATATGTATAACGTAAAACTTTAATAAATAAAAAAGTAAAATTTTATAGTACATCATCAGGACCTATGTTGAACCGACACGGGACAGAGATACGATACGACACGACACACTAACACGTTAATTCTAAAAAATGTTAAATTTTGACACGTTAAGACACGTTTTGATATTATATAATATTTTTAATTTATGTAGTGTATATTATGTTTAATATTCAATAATTTAACAGAAAAATAAAGCTAAACTTATAATACTCATCAATTTAGCAAAGTAACATAAGATATTACAAATGTTTATATTAAACTCAATAAAATCGTAATCTAACGAATCTAATAGTTGGAACTCAAAATGCAATGCAACATAACCTTTGAACCTTTTTTGAATCTTTGTAAAGAGTATTTGAGTGTCGGGAAGTGTTGGAATGTCGGTGAGTGTGAGACACGACACGTTAGGATTTTTGAAGTGTCGGTGCTTCATAGATCAGGACATATATAATTCATGATTTTTTACGTATTTATATTAATTGTTTATCATTCAATATTTATATGCGTCGCTTAATTATAGTAACATTGACAGGTCAAATCTAGGTTAGTTCATATATAGGAATTGAATGAAAAACTGGACCAGGTGAGGTACCCAACTATTCGGCCTCCGAGAAGCACACTTGCATCAATTAAACAAAACCCAGACAAAATATGGTGGCAGAAAAAATAGCCCCACAATGAAACTGGCAACGCGGATTAATAAATCAGCACTAAATAGCTTTAATCGGAACTTGTACTCAGATGGTTAGCATTCAACTTCATGAAAAGTCACTTTTTTGCGAGGCAGAGACTAGCTATTAAAAATGTGTTTTTAAATATAGTGTTTTTGTCAATGTATCATTCGATTATCATGGAAAGTACACCCAATGAAATTTTCGCAAATAGGTTTCCTGTGAAGAGTCTTAATCAACGCATGAAACTGGCAAACTACGGGGGCAGATAAAATTGGCCCCACAAGGAAATTGGCAACGCGGATTAATAAATCAGCACTAAATGGCTTTAATCGTAACTTGTACGCTTTTTTGCAAGGCAGAGTCTGGCTGTTAATAATTTGTTTTTAAAATAGGAAAAAATGTTTCTACTTTTTAGTTGATACAAGTTGTGTTTTTTTTTTTTGATTTCCTAAAGTATCTTCTTGTCAATAGCTGAAGATTAATCCTTTCGAAGTGAGAGATCACATTATGAGAGTAAACCTCTCACCTCTTTATTAAACTTGTGTTATTTTAATAAAGAAGTGAGACTCATATTTTTTTTTTGTCCACTCATTTTTTTTTATGATTTATCTGTTTCTCACACTCAAGATGACACAATTTTATATTCTTTATAATGACACATTATTTTCCTTTTAAAATATCGTGTTTATGTCTCTGTATCATTCGATTATCAAAGAAATTACAGCTTGTGAAATTTTCGCAATAGATTGTGCGAGTGTCCTAATCAACGCATGTATATTTCATTATTTATTGATTGCAACAAATAAATAAAGAAGTACCCGCATATATTTTTTTTACAGCGTAGATGATATTTTGGGGCTCCTATTATAAAGGCCAGATTAATGATAAGTACTCCAAACCAACAGCCGAAGATACAAATGCCTGCAAAAAATGATTTCTTATCGACTTATTTTTTATACTTCTAACTCCTGCAAGACAAATTTACAATTAATTTATTCATTTTGATTTTGGGTTTTTCTCAACCTGTAACCAAATAACTTTGAAAATAAGATCCAATTAGTTTTACTAACCCTACAGTCTGAAGGTTATAGGAATAAATTTACTTTGCTAACTTTGAAAACAAAATCATTAACTTCATGAGTTCTTATATATCAATCTATTTTCAATAACTCTAACACCCGCAGTATAAATTTATGATTAATTTATTCACTTTGGTTTTGGGTTTGGCAATTGGGTGTGTAGGAATGGGTTTTTCTCAACCCGTAACCAATGCTTCATAACTCTGAAAATAATACCCAACTTCTTTCACTAACCCTTAGGTTATAGGAAGAAAATTTTCAATCCGTCCTGTAATAAAGTATTAAAACTTCAACCATCTCATCTGGCACATATAAACATTTTAAATAAGTCATTTTTGTAATTAATGTTTATCTAACATTTTTTTTTGGGTATAAGAATTGTCCTTACTTTCAAGTTATATTACGGTGAATGGAATAGTGAACTAATAGCAGACCTACCCTATCCATTAATTAATTTGTAAGGGATAAGAACAAATTAATGGTTTAGTCACATATTAGATACGAGAACTAATGGCAGTTACGAGCGCATCTTTAGTACCGCGGTCGCACTTAATGGTGGGTACTACTGCCATTCAAAATGGGACACCTGTACTGTATTTAATAAGTCTGTCGCTAGCGACTATCTCTACTTTTCTCTCTCCTCTTCGCTGACGTTTTACTGTGTGTGCTTAGGTGTTTAATTTTTACAGGATAGATGTATGGAAAATAGGGTAAGGCGGTAGTATATTAGAAATTTCCGGCAGTTACACGATGCAAGGCACAACGTGGTGGTTGTTACTTGTTGCTACCTGGTAGGGTTGTGTTAATGGGAATAAAGGTGGGACAAAATATAAAACCAAATGTAAAGGTTAGAAAAGCAGGAGACATGCAGAGTAAGATATAAGCTTTGGTGAACGAAAGCTTCCCTTATTTAAGTGGTTATTGCTGATCGATAATTCGATGATGAATATGATCATATGATCTGAACCAAGCATATCAGGCACTAATTCATGTATGGAGAACCGTTGGCGAATCGTATCCCAAATTCAATGTTTGGTTGCAGTTCTTGGATATTCGCTGCATTGTGTCATTGTGTGCAAATAAAGTGGGTAGTTGATGGAGAAGAGATGGTTCTGCTGTGTATATTACTAGTTTTTTTTTTTTTTTTAAACTATGCATTTAGGGTGGTTGGACGTGTTTGTTTGGAAAATTGATCTTTTCATGTCTTCTTTGATATTATTATGTCATGTGGCAGAATTCTAATCATGTAAAAGTGAATTAATAGTAATAAAAAAAAGGAAAAATATTGGGACATGACGTTATAAAATCATGATTATTAATTAATTTATTAATGGTTTAGATCATCTCACACTATATGAATGTCAATTGACTCAACTTGCAACAAAACACTTACTTGCCTTAATTTTTATAAAATTTATTTATATTGTATTGTGTTAACATGCATAATAAACATAACACTTTGAGGTTAGTTGGTTATTCTTAACGTATCAACCGCATAATATAAGCGAGATATTTTTTGTTTAATGGATTATTTATATCATGTTGTGGCGACCTACTAAATGAGTAGATCGTATTCGTGTAGAAAATTTTGACATAAATTGTGTTTGTTCTGAGTGTACTTGTATTTATTTTAAACCTTGACCCCATAGGAACATGGCCTCCCAGTCACAAATTGCCACAACTAAATTAAAAAATAAAGAGAGAAAAAGAGAAATGAAAGGGAAAAAACTGATATCTGAATCTTTCTAATAATATCTTCCTTTTTCTTTGAAACTCCAAAATCATAATTTAAATAAAAATTACAAAGACATCTTTCAATCCAAAAACTTAAGTTGGTGAATCAAGGGTTTTTAAGGATTTTATATCTCTCCAACACACACCCTTGTGCAATAGCTATTTGGACTTTGAATCGTGGATATTATACAAGCTCATTCTTTTGATTCTACCTTATATTGACTTCATTCCACTAGAAATAGGTCATTGAGGATCGAACCCGTGATCACGAAGACTCTGATATCATAAACAATCATTTCTCCTAAAAGCTCAAGCTATTAAGTGATGAGCCTTTAGCGATTTTATATTTATCTAACACACCTCCTTATATAATAGCTCTTTGAATTTGAAGGGTGGAGAATGTATCGAGCCCAACTTACCTGTGCTGAAAATTTTTATAATATTTAATTATTTATATTAATAAAATGACTGATTGAGGGTGGTGAGGTTTAAACTCATGACTTCTTAATTATACCGACTCTGTTATCATATAAAAAAATTGTTTTAATCTAATTTTTTTTTTTTTTTGGTTTCCATTTAATCTAAAATTTTAAACTTATAAGCAAACGATGTTTAATAATTTTATATTACATTTCTGGAACAAATTTTATCCGCATCATTGAGTAAGAAAGACTACCAAACTCTACATGTTGGTTGTCGGTTGATTTAACTTGTAAATTGTATGGCTTTATAAGAGGCACAAATGTTAAGGAATGGACTGCACCTTTCCCCAGGTGGGATGGTTTTTGAAAAGAGAAGTGATTAGTTTTTGGATTTGATTTCTTGTAATGATGTAGTGGATAAATTTATCTCCTAATTATATATAAATATATGTGGAACTCATACGAGGTCATGTGAAGAGAAGATAAAAAAAAATATGGATCTATATATTTTTATGTATATATTAAAAATAAAACTATCTCCTAAAATATGAAAAATATTAAACTCATAATTTTCATGGTAAAATCTATGTTATATATAAAAACAAGGTACTATATTAAAAAAAAAAAACTTAATTTAGTATGATCCACTTCACTGGTTTTATTCCGTTCCTTGCACAAATTGATTATTTGTCAAAATTTGAATACTTAAACCAGTTTTTATAAAACTTCAAAACATAGAATTTCTTTAAAGTATCAAAATTTATATATATTTTAGTGGCTTATTTATTCATATTATATTTTGGTTTTAGTATTTTGGAATACTTGAACTTATTATTTGTATTATACCTGTTAAATAATATCTTGTTAATATCTTTTATTTTAGGAAATAGAATTCTTAATTTTAGGGATTCTATCCACAATCAATTAATTAGATTATATTTTTTTTCCTTTTATTAATGACTGTAAATCCTATATATAATGAATGGAATTGAGGTAGTCTCTTCAAGCCATTTAAAAATTGCTTTCAACAATTTCTTCTATGCAGACTTGAACTTCACTTAAATTGAGTGTTTGGATAATTTACTACTTTTTTTTACGTAGCATTTACAAAAAAAGATTTCAATAGAAACTAATCAGTGACTAATTAAGCTACATGTTTTTTCTTTAATTAGTTTGTGCAATTTACAAAACTTCAAAAATGCTTTGCAGTTTCATAATCAAGTGTTTAAACTGTTGGGTCACAAATTTAAAAATATTTTATAACTTAAATTTATCTATGTCCACTGTAGTTATTCTTCTTCGAGTTTATTTAATAGAGCTTACTACCAATGGTGATAGCTATCGTAATAAAGGATCGGTTCAATCTTCACATATTATCTTTGAAAAGAATTTAAATATTTTTACCTTGATTCACCCCACATTTTAAATTATTCTCATAACTGACTCAAAAACTTAAAATTTATGTGAATACCATAAGAGTCAACTTCCTCAAAAAAAAATTAGGGTGAATTATTTAAAAAAAAAAAAATTAAACAGAGCTTACCAGTGGGGGCATAAAGGCAGTTAGTTTGTTGGTGTTTTCATAGTTCAATTCAAGCCCTCCAACATTTGTCAGGCCCATGGAGTCAGGCATTTTAACTATTTTGTTCCTAATTGGAAACTATTTATCAATCTGTCCCTTTTTAATCGACTAAGCCAAAATTTAATCGACTAAATGATCGAATGAAGATTTAGTCGATTAAATCTTCAACTTAATCGACTAAATCTACCTCTTTATCATAAGAACAACTTTGTGTATGAGAGATTTAGTCGATTAAATAGGAAGATTTAATCGACTAAATCTTCATTCGATCATTTAGTCGATTACATTTTTGGCTTAGTCGATTAAAGAGGGGCAGATTAGTAGATAGTTTCCAATCAGGGACAAAATAATTATTAAATAATTAATTAAGGGCAAAATAGTTAAAAAGCACGTGGAGTCACATTTGAGGAGTCGCGGCCCTATGTACAGAATCACATTTGAGGAATTTTTTTTGAAAGGTTTTCGTTTTATCCTTTGACATAACACAACAAACTTTCCTACACTCACAACATTTTGTGGGACTCACACTTTTTAAAACAAAAAAATAAATAAAAAATTAAGGCACACAAAACGAATCTCTATAACATTACACAATCACTTTTCTTACGACATAACTCTTATAAATTTTTTTTTGAAAATCAAATGTGAGTTCCAAGGAGTAAAAGAAAGTTATGCAGCATAGGTTTATGTTGCGGGTATTGACGAAGACAAGAAATACCATTTAGGTACTAACTCAATTTCATTAATTCATATCTACTTTTTCTTCGGTACATTCAATTTCATATATTTAATCATTATTCATACAACAATGAATCAATAAAAGAATTAAATAAAAAATATCTTTGGTCGTTGCCTAGCACTAACACGAATCATGTTTTGTGTTATACTAGAGTAGAGCAAGCTGAGGTGGTTGGGTCGAAGAGTGCTGGCAACAAATATTTCCTGCCATTGACGCCATTGGCGTTATAGCTAGCACTAGTTGTTCGGTCCACCAAGAGATCCCCAGCGTAGCCTGGGTAAGAACCCTTGCCATACACCCCAGTGCAAGCCGAAGCAGCTTCCAGAGGTGCCTCTTTGGGTCCTTGGAAGAACCCATTCCCAAAAGGGTTCGTTATGGTCCCAGCCAATAGACTAGCCACGTTGATGACCATGCCATCAAGGCCCACATCGTTGTTGGGCGCAACCAACGGTGGGTTCTGTGGACCATAAATCGGCTGGTGGAAGGGCCACGCGCATTGACCCGCGCACTGTGTCTCTGAGTTACCCACCCACACGTAAGCAAACTTGTGGGCCTTTCCACTGGAACCGTGGGTCCCGCACCTACTGGAACAGAAACCATCAACGGCCACGTCAGCGGCTGTGAGAACCACGTTAATAGCATCTTTCTGGGCACCCTTGGACGCTAGCATAACGATGTGGTTCGTGGTGAGTGATTTTCCTAGAGAGTAGTTCTCGTCGAGGATTTGGGAACCAAGGGTGAGAGTAAGGGCTTGCTTTGGTGACTTTATGAGCTCGTAGTATTTGTCGGTGCCTTTCCACCACGTGGCGACAGATGGTTGGGCTGTGATGGATTTGGGTGAGGAAAGAGAGGTGATAAAATCGGAAATGATGGCTCGCTGGGTAGGAGTGAATTTTCCGTACCAGATAAGATTGATGGAGATTTTGCCGCTGAGAAGAGGGCCTTTATGGTATTGGAACTGCAACTGCTGGTCGTTTTGAGTTGACTCAGCGAGTCTCCTCGCCTCTGAACTCAAATGGAGCAGGGAAATAACGAGGAATAGCTTCAAAAGAACACTAGAGGCCATTGCCATTGTTTGTATTACTATTTTGTATATAGAGGAACTAATAAGGAATAAGTGAAATGTTGTAAGGATTGTGTGAAGAAGAGTAATGTGGTAGTAAGTATATATAGTGGAGAGGGAAGGGAAAAAAAAAATTGAAAAGGAAGGCGCAGGGAAAGAGCGCTAAGGGGTAGAGCGGAGTGAGGTGCCAGCTTGATAACGCGTTGCTGTTTTGAATTCTGATGTAATCAAAATTCATTTCAAGCTTTTCATGTCGCCACCGAATTATTTATTAGTGAATAGTCAATTAGTCATAGCTCATAAATACATGTCCTGCTTGGACAGGGCATGGCCAGCTAAGGGGAACAGGACACAATAAAACAGCACTTGGATCAGACAGGGAGACAAACTAGACTGGTCAATGAAGTGGCGTGCCTTTTATTTTCATTTTTCACGCAATTAGAGCTGGACCTGCTTCATAATTAAACCCCCACTTTCCAATTTCTAAACTTCAGGAACGATTTCAATGTTTCTTGATATTAATCGTTTATAAATATTAACCCACAGTTTCCCATTACTAGTATTTGTTAATGGGAAAAACTACTTTTATGTTACATAAGAGTAGTTTTATCTCCTACACACCTGTCGAAAATCGTAATTTTTTTTTCTTTAAATAATGGATCTTACTATATGTATTTCTACACCATGAGAGAAGATCTCTTTTTCAGCTAATTGACTGAAGAGTGTATAATCACTGGTAGAAACTATTTCAGCATAAGGAATTAAAATTTGTCTTAATTACTGGATTTTCTGCAAATTGTCTGGCCTTATGTATGTCTTATGTTTTCCAATTCACCTTTTCAATCTTCAAAGTTTTAAAATATGGGAATCTAATATAAAATAAAATAATATGGTTCATTTATTTTAAAATTCTAAACATCCTACATTTCAAAAATTAATTATTTTTCGAAAATAAATAGTAATAAGATTAAGAAGAATATTAACTATTGTGTTCCTTTTCTACAAAAACAATATACTTATCACTAACAGTCGCCAGTCGCCAGTCGCCACTCGTCTACTTAACACATTGCTCGGTTATAAGGTATCCTTGTTACTTTAATATAAGGAAACCTATATGTTGTTTTACCACAATAAAGTGGGCTTTTTGACCACTGTGGTCATTTATTAATAAATATTTATCAAATTGTCCTCGATTAGAAATTATTACGAAAAATTAACCCTCCAAACAAACATAACACCAATCTGCCCCTGTTTGACCGTTGACCACGAAGCATACCCAGGTACCCCACTCCATACCCGGGTATATTTTAAAAAAATCAACCATACCCGGGTATGTAGGGGGGTACCCGGGCATTGTTCTTCAATCTGGAAATTTGTTGAATTATTTACCCGGGTAGGTAATGGGGTACCCGGGTAGATTTCGCGAATAGGGTACCCAATACCAAGGGTTTCGGCCATTGTTGTAAGGTAGAGTTTTTTCTCCCCAAATCAGTTTTCCTTCACTTCGCTATTCTGAAACATCACACATATATTTCATCTCATCATCTCAAAAAGCTTAATCTTGGTAGGACATTGGCATTACACCTCCACATTTCCATTTTGTGTTAAAAAATCCGAACCAAGATCCAAACCCAAAACCTAAACCCAAATTTTCGTGTGAAAGATGAGTTCAAGTCCTATCATGGTACCTATAGTTATTTACTACAATGGGAGGCATTTTGAAGGTCCGAATGGTGTCTGATTTGAAGGAAAAACAAAAGCGATGAAAATCAAAGTGGGCACTACATGCAATGAACTCAAGGACAGAATTCTCCAAAAAATGGGGTCAGAAGGCATCCATTCCATCCACCGCATGATAGCCAGGTTAGAGACTGTTGTGGATATGGATACAATATACTACATTGGTAACGATATCAATGATGATGAAGATGTGGAGTTCATCACAGATGCGTATGTTGGATGGAAAGTATTAAAAATGATTGAGATATATGTTGAATTTGATGCTGGTCAGTCTTTGTCGTTACCGGTGCATACAACCACTGCGCACTGTATTGGTCAAGAAGATACAATTGTACGATCATCTGCACCTGCTCAGGTAACAATGGATGAGGATGAAGATGATGAAGATGAGGAGTATGTGGACAGCGAAGATGAGGGAGGATCTGAAAGTGCTATTTCACAGGGTGATTCGTCTGACACTGACGTGGATGAAAATTTTGACGCTGACACGAGCACTGTAAGGCTGGGTACCCCAGTCATGTCACCACTTCATGTTGATCCTGTCAGTTCACCACTTCATGTTGATCCTGTCAGTTCACCACTTCATGTTGACCCTGTTAGGTCCGGAGCCTGATGCACAGCCTGAGGCTAAGAGGAGGAAGATACATCATGTCGGTGCTTGCTCCTCCCTTCAGTATTCACCGCTCTCTTCTTCCCAGCGCGTCTGTCCTCCATGCAATAACACTGTAAAACAAAATTAAAAAAAAAATTCAATTTCAGAGAATATGGATAAACAGGTTTAGGTTTAGGGTTAGGGTTTTTTATTAGCAACAAATCAGAATGCATTTTGAAAACGAAAATTAACAATACGCAAAGCAATAAATTAAAATGCATACATGATTACATCAAGGTCAGGCCGAATTTTATGATGAATCAGAAATTCAAACGAAAAAAAAATAACAAATCTTGAAATTTCAATCGGTAGAAGGAACCCATACCGTGCGCCAAGGATGATGACAAAGTCTTGAGATGATCGATCAAACGTGCTTCCAGAATGGACTAAATCGCACTCCAGCAGCTCTCTACCCGGGTACCCTTTGTGGGTTTTCCAAATGGGGGCTGCTGGGGCTTTTAAAAAACCCTATACGCGAAATCTACCCGGGTACCTCATTACCTACCCGGGTAAATAATTCAAAAAATTTCCAGATTGAAGAACAATACCCGGGTACCCCCTACATACCCGGGTATGGTTGATTTTTTTAAAATATACCCGGGTATGGAGTGGGGTACCCGGGTATCCTTCGTGGTCAACGGCCAAACAGGGACAGATTGATGTTATGTTTGTTTGGAGGGTTAATTTTTCATAATAGTTTCTAATCAAGGACAATTTGATAAATAATTATTAATAAAGAACTACAGTGGTCAAAAAGCCCAATAAAGTGCTACTGTTAGCAGTACCATAGATGGCAAGTCAGATAAGGTAGGTAGGGCTAAGACAAGGAGGTGCCAGCTTTTACGTGCCGTGTTTCTTCAATATTTTTTAATAAAAAGTTGTACCTTATACAAACAAATTTAAAACATTAAAATCATAAATTAAAAATATAAAAATTGAAAATTTATCATTCTAAATATCATACTTTTGTGTCAGATTAAGTGAAATAATTATATTTTAGTGTATATTTATTGACTTTTTATATTTTTTTCTACAAAATTAGGAAGAGAAAAAGAAGAGAATATATTATAAAGGAGAAAGAATATAAAAAATCAATAATTATATATTAAAACACGATTATTTTATTTAAAATGACATAAATTTATATCATTTAAAATAATAAATGTTATTTTCATTAAAAATATACGTGATTAATTTAGATAAATTTTAAATAGTGATTACAAATATTTAAATTATAAAATGTATAATTGATTATTGAGAGTGACATATGCTTACAATACGACAAAATTGGAAAATTGCAATTCAAACGTGCATGATGGGTATTCGCGGGTTTTGGGTATTAGTTACTCTATAGTCTATGGTCACAAAATAGGGCAAAATGTTGGTTTTAACTTTTAACAATAACAAAAGAGGCACGGACTAAAAACAGAAAAAGAGGAAGAGGACCCTCGTTGATGATTTGTAATAGATTCACCTCTTCATTCGGGTTTACGAATTCGAAAATAAGTTCAAACCTTTAATAGAAACAAGATTTATTTATTTATTATGATGTTGACGTAATATGAATCTGCATATTCAAAATGTGTTATTTATTATGCAGGTTAACATACTACAAAATTTTTGTCAATCTCAAAATATGTCGTTTATTATATGAGTTGACACGACATGATATAATCACACGAATAATTTGTATGGAGATTAATTAAGCTTAATTTCATATTGGTGGCTTGCGAGTTAACACAAAACACTACATAAATTTTTGTGTGTCAGATTTTGTTAATACGAATACGACATAAATTTAAAAATGAATTAATCCGAATACGAATTTTTCATGTCGTGTCAGCGGGATTGTATTATCATCTACACTAATCAATAAGCTTATATTGTCACCCACGTTAATTAATATTACAAATATTTCTGTATACATAAAAAAGCACTCAATTAAATGAGATTTTTACCGATTCCGTATAGATCATAAATATTAAATCATTTTTATTAAAATAATTATGAAAATTCTAATACAAATTTTTTTCATTTTCTCTTCTTATAATTTGAAAAAATATATATTACATCTCTCACTTAAAATAATTAATTTTAGTCTTTATGAACATAACATCATTTAGGGTCCGTTTGGATGAGCTTTTTTTTTCTTCAAAAGCTGCTTTTTTTTAAGAAAAAAAGCACTTCTCGTTTTTAGTTCGTTTGGATGTCTGCTTTTAAAAAAAGGAGAAATCACAAAAAAAGTCAAAAACTTACTTTTTTCAGAAGCTAAAAATTTTAACTTCTAAAAAAAGTAGAAGTCAAAAGTCAAATATTTTTTTCAAAAACTAAATATTTTTATAAAAATATAAATAGTTTTAACTTTTGTAAAAAGTACTTTTAAAATAAGGAAGTGATAAAAGTTATTTTTTCTAAAAGCTGAAACAAACGACCTCTTACTAATCTGCACATTCATTGCAGTAGGTGTAAAAAATTGAGCCATATAAAATACAACTTGAGTAAGTTTAATGAAATTCAAAATAATAATGAAAAGTCTGTGAATTTTTTTTAGAAAAAAAGGGCAGACCAACTAAATTACTTCGATAGGCGAATGTAAAGAACTTGAATAATTCAAAATAATTGTTTTCGAGAAAAAAGAAATTTTAATTTCACGTTTTTAGTACCCTGAAGGAGGAAGGATAAAAGAAAGTGTAACCGATAGTAAACAAATACCACCACTCAACAAGAAAATGGCGGTAATGGCTGAAAAAGGACAAATGTATGTGATGCGGCTAATTAACAAGGGACGGTGTACATGAATAAGGAGAGCATGTTTCAGAACATTCTTTCTTCGTTGATGGAGATATTTTTTGCAGAAAGCTGGAAGTGGGACTACTCCGTGAGATATATTTGTTCTTTTGCAAGGTTTAGTAATGGATGATTTTAAATGGTTTGTTGGATGCACATTTTCTATATTGTGCCCAGTGCCCACATATATTAATTATGTAATTGGACACACAGTTCTCAATCATAGGGTTCGATTATTGTTCAAGATCATGATTTTATAATTTAAAATTTAAAATATAAAACCGTTCCATGTCATGGAGGGATCAAGTTTAGATAAATTTCTTCAATGCAACCCATGTATTGATTTTTCGATATATCTTTTCGCTCACAATGTGATACATATTTTATTTTTGTCGAATTATTAATAATTTATTTATTTTAATATCAGGTGAAAGAGTAATTTGGAAAAAAAAAAACACATGTTATATTATGAGTAAAAAATGCATCAAAAACTCGGTACAACGATAATACAGAAGAAATTCGCTAAGTTTAGCTATTGCAAAGACCGATATGAGTAACAACTTTGAAGTTTGAACTCGATGATTACTAGCATTAGCATTGAGTTTTGCCATCTTTACTTGAAAAATGGTGCTGTAATTCTCAAATGGAAAAAAGTTGTTGCTTTTTATATTTTTATATAGAGAAATAGAAGTATAATGTTGTAGGAAAGTTGTTAGATTATGTTATAGAGATAAAGATTGTGAGACCCACACTTGTTTTGATTTTTTATTTTTGAAAACACATGTGGGCCCCACATTTCCTATCTCTATAACATAACTATAAAATTTTCCTACAACATTATTCTTCTTATTCCCTTTTATAAAATGACAGAGTTTTATACTTCAGATTAAGAATGTCCTCTGAAATAAAAAATAAAATAAAATAGAACTCATAAACACATTGTTAATCACTAAACAAACAATTAAAATTATAAAGGAAACATACTTGTTTTTTTTTTTTTTTGGTAATCGGAAACATACTTGTTTTTAGGAGTGTTCATCAACCGATCCAAACCGATTCAAACTGCGGTGATTGAACCAAAAAACCGATAACCGAACAAACCGAAAACCGAAAAATCAAAAACCGAAAAAAAACCGCAACTTTTAATTGAATTGGATCGGTTTTCGGATTGCTTAATGAAAACCGATCCAATCCAAACCGATCCAATATATTAATTCCCCTCTACTTACTTTGGTCTTTCTCCAATCATAATCCAAAAATTTCTAAACCCAAGATCCATTAACCCATCAACTAAACCCAAGATAAAACCTAGTCGCATCTCATCAACAAAATTTCATCTGCGTAGAGTTCCATATCTCATTGCCCCCCAAAAAAAACAATATTATCATTTACTGATACTTTTGTATTTCAATTTTGTTTACAAAGCCAATATATATATAAAAGATGTTATCTGCATGAAATAAATTTTACGATTTTCAAAAAACCGAGAACCGATCCAATCCAAACCGAAAAAAATCGGATTGGATTTGAAAAAAAGTCCAAACCGAATGGATGATTACATGGTCAAACCGAAGGGATTGAATCAGATGAATTTTGCTTCTAAAACCGATCCAATCCATACCGCGAACACCCCTACTTGTTTTATCTATAAGCAAAGTATTTAGAGGCGATTGAGAAATATTATTTTACTCTTAATTGCTAGCCGGCTACCAACGGATTTAATTAAGCTCAATTGCTATTCTAAGACGCGAGGCAGTATTAACGGCCATTTGATTATTTGGGGCGTTGTTATTTGAATTTTATATATTTGGTATGCTGTCAAAATTAATTTTCAGTAGGGGTATTCAGTTTTGCATACTGCTCTCGCAAAAAATTTTATATATATATATATATATATTTTTAATGAATTTTATGAATGCTCCTTGAAGAACTTATTAATTTTTTTTCTGCTTCAGTAGGGGTGTGAATCGGTCAAGTTAGACCAGACTTTGCTCTTCATGACCTGAGTCTAAGAAAAAATACGTTGAGTCTATATGGCTTATTAACTTATTAAAAGCTTAATTTATTGGTCAGGCCTGCCTATTACAAATTAAGTTCAATTAAAAAAAATAAAATGTCTTATTTATTACATAATATTTCTACCAAGAATCCAAATTATAAAAATCCTTGAACAGATTTGTTAAATAGAATACAAATATTTTTAAATAATGTTCATGACAACAAATATTATTTTTTTGGGATAGAAGAATAACATTTATGATAATTGATAAATATATTATTTTATTTTAAAAATTAAACAGGTCGATTTACGGGCTTTAAGGTACTTAGTTGGCCTTTGGCCTATTTTTAAAAAAGACTAATTTATAAGCATAACTCTAATCTAATTTCCCGATAAGTCAAGCCAGATAGGTTAGGCTATAGGCCAATCTAACTCATTTATAGCTCTACACTTCAGGTTCTACGAGACCTCTCGAGAATTCATCTCACAATCTCAGCCATCCAGAATCATTATTTTATTTTTTTGGTAGATAAATCATTAATTTTAAAATAATGTTAATGAGATTTTTTTATTTTATTTTTTATTGAAGTCATTTAAAATAATATTAATTTTTGGTAGACAAAGCCCCAATTATGAATGAGTTCTTTATTGATGTCATCGAAACTCGTTAAAAACATTTGAAAATGGAAAAATTATGTATCATTTAAAATGATGGTTCTTTTAGATTAAAGTAGTGTATTTTTTAAAATTTAAATTAAAAACTTTTTCCTCCACCTCTTCCCTCCATATTTTTTTTCTTTGTCTCTCTTAAAAGGATATAAGTATGTGTCATTTAGAAGGACACACATTTTTCCCTCTAAAAATATATAAAAACAATTATGTGGGAGCCAATCCTTGAACTAAATATTCTCCATAAAAAAATAATTTTGAGGCGTACTAAATTAGCCAAAATACTATTTTGGTTGTTGGGCCGTGCAAGGGAAGCTCATGGTTGGAAAAGATCGCCAACTATGGACCAAGTGAGCAGAACATTAAGTGGGCTCAGAACATCACAATTAAACCCAAAGTCTTAAGGTATTAGGTGCAAGAGTCATTCCCCTTATATGGTGCTCACTCAGTCCATACACACTTAGATTCTTCAACATTTCCCCTCAAGTGTGAGTCCTACGCTCACATTCTTTCCCCTTCAAGGAGAAGTTTCTTCGAATATTCATGGTTGAATATTTATGGGATTCATCAATGCTTGGCTTCTAATCAAGACCTTGACTTTTCAAGTCAAGACATATTCGGATCACCACAAGCCAATGATATTAATTGTTGGGTCGTGCAAGGGAAGTTCATGACGGGAAGAGACCGCCAATTATGAGCCAAGTGAGCAGCAATATTAAGTAGACTTGAAACACCATAATTAAACTCAAAACCTTAAGCCATTAGATACATAAATCTTTTTTTTTTTGTTGATAAATCATAAATCCTTTCACTTATACAGTACTCACTCAATCCATTTTAATTAATGTGCAACTCTTTCACTTAAACATTCACGTTTGGATCCCAAATGGTCAAACATCCTATAATTAACTCTAGAATTGCAGCTTATAAAAAACAAAAACACACTCTAGAATTGCAGCCTCTTTTGAAACAAATCTTTAGTATTATTATGGTAGCACTGAATTTGCAATGCATCTTTTATTCATAATATGATAAGTATTTTATTTTTATCAAATTGGTAATAAATAAATTATTTTAATATAAATTAAAAGAGTGATTTAAAAAAAATAAAGTAGAAAATTCAGGAGTACTGTATTACTGAAGAAAATTTTCCTTCCCCCTCTTCTTATCTTCTCTTTGGGACTAAAAGCGTTAGAAAAGGCGTTAGCTTCTTGAGAACTCTTGGTAGGACATCGGGGATACGCGTCTCTCTCACCTCTCTCTCTCTTCCCCCTTCTGTAGACAGACTCGACACAAAGGAGAGACAACAACCATATTATTCAACCAAAAGCCCCTTGAGGGGAAGAAAATTCAAATTTGACTTATTTATTTGAATGAATCAAAATTATATAAAAATAAAAAATTTGAATTAGGTATATTTAATCCATTTATTACTTTAATATTCTTAATAGACATGTTAATACTGTAAAAATAATTTTAATTTTCCAACGAACATAAAAGCAGTAAAACTAATAACATTATTACCATTCAACTTATTAAATCAGCCTTTTAAAATATTTTACACCAGATTACACAATAATAAAAATATTATAAACCTAGTGTATGTGTGTGTATAAATATTATAACAATACTTACTAAATTTGTACCATAAATTATAGTATCCAGATTCAAGTATGAGGTAACTAGTAACCCAATCCAGGAACTCTACAAGTTTTAATTATGAGGACCAACCAGGACCAGCACCATAAAGTTATTGTAAATGGTAAATAATAATAAGCCTGTTCAATCGTCTGAAATCTAAAGGACTTAGCAACAAAACTCTGTTTAGCCAAAGAAGACAGAAATTCCAAGCAGGTTTAGAACCAGAATAATATATTAAAAGTAAAAGCAAACCGAAGTAAATTTGCTTTTATATCATTAATCCGCAAAACTAAAAGAAATAAACAAATCAATGAATCAATCCTACTTAATACTTATTTGTACAACCTACTAATTAACCCCCAGTATCTAATAAAGTAGCAGAAGCACAGTAACGACGAGCACTATAGAAATCCTCACACAAGCGTTGAGCACGATAATGTAGAAGGATCATACAAAGCAGGAAGCAGGTACTTCCTGCCATTATTACCATGTGCGTTGTAGCTAGCACCAGTAGTAGAGTCCACTAGCAAGTTACCAGCATAACCGGGGTAAGCCCCTTTAGCATAAACCCCAGGACATGCCGATGCAGCTTCAAGTGGAGACTCAGCAGGACCCTGGAAGTAACCATTTCCAAAAGGATTGGTGGCAGTTCCGGCAAAGAGGCTAGCCAGGTTGATAACCATTCCGTCAAGACCCACATCGTTGTTGGGGGCAATCAGCGGTGGGCTTTGGGGACCATAGATTGGCTGGTGGAATGGCCACGCGCATAGACCTGGACATTGGGTCTCGGAGTTACCGACCCAGATGTAAGCGAACTTGTAGTTCTTGCCCTTCACGTGACCCACCGAGGAAGACCCGTGAGTGCCACATCGGTTCATGCAGAAACCTTCGACGGCCACATCGGCAGATGTCAGAACAACGTTAATTGTGTTTTTCTGGTCTCCTTTGGAAGACAATTCAACAAGGTGCTTGGAAGTGAGTGACTTTCCGAGCGAGTAGTTCTCGTCGAGAATCTGCTTACCCAATGAAAGGGAAAAAGAAGAAGACTTAGACTTCTTGGAGCTGAGGTGGTAGTACTTCTCGGTGGTTTTCCACCACGTGGCAACAGAGGGTTGGTTGCTCTGAGCCATTGGGGATGAGAGGGAGGTGATGAAATCGGTTATTATGGCTTTTTGGGATGGTTTGAACTGACCATACCAGATGAGATTGACGGAGATTTTGCCATATAGCAAAGGACCATTGTGGTAATGAAGAAGCTGAGACTGGTCCTGAACCAGCTCATTCAGCCTCCTAGTAGCTAAAGAGAACTGAAACAAAGAAATGAGAAGGATGATTTGAAAAAAACATTGAGGAGAAACAACAACAGCCATTTTTCGAATAACGGCCTTTTTTTTAAAAAAAAAAATGGATCAATAAGCTGAGATAGCTCTTGTAATTTTGTGTTGTGAGATTGAAGGAAATGGGAAGTGAGGTATATATAGGTCCCAGCTGGGGTTTAAATTGGAGGATGTTTTTATTAATTAAAATGTGTTTTTACTGTGACTGAGGGTAGAAGTAGAACTTGCCAAGAAAGAGACAGCGATTAAAGCGTGACTTTTGTGCGAGGGAAGTGGTTAGCCCCTCTGGCATTTACGAGCCACGGCTTCCCCAGTAAGTATGCTAAGTGCTAACAGGGACCCCCCAAAACCGTACTGTTTCTACTCTAATCTCACCCGCTCGAGTTAATTCCACGCGCAGAACTAGCACGTGTATCGTTAGTGGGGCGTGAGAAACAACCCAATGGTACGCGGTGGGAGAGCATTAAAAAAGAGAGCTGTGTTACTGGCAAGACATAAGAAGAAAGTGAAGCCTTTGTGGAAATTAGTGAAAGGGCTTTTGTTTTGTGGGGATAGCTACGTGACAAAAGCAATACAGCTTGGGCCAGTTAGAATATTTGAAACAAAAGTGGTTGTCGAAATTGGCCCCAGGAATGGATAAGAGTAACAGCGTGGCAAGGAGGGGGAGTGCAGGGTAGAATGGGAAGAAGAGGAGTGAAATTATGAAGAGAGACGTTGGGATGACAGTCTGGATGGTGTGTATTTATCTCGGGAAGAGTGTATGGATCCAACTGGCACACAAACCCAATCGCAGTTTATGAATCCCTCTGGAGGTATCCGAGGAAGCACGTGATGCAACGCCCTCCCCTCTAATGATCCATGCACCATGCACGTGACTTTCACATAGTGGATACTTTACTCCACCTAGACTACATAACTTAGACCCCACACGTTGCTACACATTATCATGCTAGGGTTTAATGTCCACTTAGCTCTGCTTGAACGGAAACCCAATTCAAGTCTCACATCTTATTGGCACGTGACCCGAGGATGATAATGTAAAAATTTCTTCCATGTATAAAAGATGACGGTAATTTTTATTTTTATTTTTAAATACAAGCCAAATAACAGCAAAAATTACGGTTAATTTAATTTTTTTAAATACATCCTATATTGGTAATTTGGTATACGATATTTTTTTAAGGATCGATTATGAATGTACATTGTTTTTTATTATTGCGAGGTGGGACAAGGGCAAAATTCAGTAGAGAATTCTTCCATTTCTACTGAAAATGACGTCACCATTTATAACCTTTATAAAGAAGGTAGAAAATTAAAATACTTATGAGCTCTTACATTCATGAATTATTATAAACTAGATGAGAATCTTGCCCTTTTCAGTAATAGTTGAGCTCTTACTCTCATGATCATTTTTTTTTTTGAGAATATATCTTTACCTTCAGGATTTGAAAAAAAATAAAATATATTTGCCCAATATTTTTAGAATCTATCGTTTCTCCATCATGAGATAAAATTATCTCTATCAATTTTAAAATTATATTATTTTGTAGATTGAGAGAATTAATAAAGAATATTTTGTTAAGATTCATATAAGAAAAAAATAAATTAAAATTCTTAAAATACGCCTAATTAATTTTCTCAACCCAAAATGATATGATCTTTTTGAGATTGATGAGAATAATTTTATCTCGTGTTGATGGAGAACCAATAAATCCTTATTTTTACGAATAAACCCTTCTTTCTACTACATTTTTGTTAAAAATTGTTATTTGTCTACATTAAGAGAAAATATTCTATGTGAGATAAGTGAATGCTAACAAGGATGTTAGATGAAAAAAAAAGATAAATTAAATAAAAAAGTAATACATTTAAAGAATTCAAATAAAAAATTGTTGTATCGAGAAATATATATATATATATATATATACACTTTTTTTTTGATACATTGAAGTAAAGACATAAAGCAAAGAAAAATAAAACATAGAAAATATTAGATAGTAAAGCTTCTAACGAGTCTCCGCATGTCTAGCAAAAATCACATTCGTATTGTCGGCCTAGAGTTGACACCATAGTCCTGTGTGGGGAGAGGGGGGTGTGAGAGAAATGAGCCTTATCAAGCAACTCTAGGTGCACCAACAGATAGTTTGCCAACCAATCTGCGCACTGGTTGCCTTTCCGAAGAACATTTATAAATTGAACATTCCATTGACGACTAGCAAAAGCTCAAATTCGAGTCACTAGATGGGACTCACAAACTTCAGTGTCTTCCTTAGAAAATAATGCAATGACTGTTTGACAATCACTTTCAACCAAAATATTTCTCCAACCTGCCTCTCAAGGTAACTCCAACCCTTTTAACACATCCCACATTTTTGCTTGTAAAGCAGCAAAATGTCTAATTCTTGCAGCAAACTCCCTTGTGGTCATGAAGAAGCCCTCCACAAGCTGCTTCAGCCGTTTGACCCTTTGAGGCCCCATCTATATTTAGTTTAACATATTGAGTCAAAGGAGACTACCAGCTAACATCCCTGGAGGAATAGAGTCACAACAATGGCTTTGTGTCTACAAAGGCAAGTTGTATCTCATTCAAGTAGTCAAGGTGGCGATCCCCCATTGTGAGAGCTATCTTGGGTCACTTCATTTCTCCAGCACCAAATATACCAGCAACAAATAATATATAATGAACTCCAAACAAAACCGGAAGTCAAATCATGGATTGAGTTAATCTATCATATAGCAAGAGACCGTAACATATATTAATTTGGGAATTGTTCATAAAAACACTAATAAAAAATCTACCCTTATATATAATTTTCTTCAACTTGTAAAAAATAATTATAAACAACTCATCTACCAAAAAATATGTCTCTTGAAACATCAAGTGAATAAGCTTTCAAACTCCCCAAAAATTTACAGTACTTTTTTTTTTTTTTATAACAATTTACAGTACTTTTAAAATAAGAAATACTGTTGGAAGTATTCAAGTATGAGTTGTAATGAAGTACCACATTGGCTAAACCTAGACCAAGTGATGACTATATAAGTGCAAAAAGACCCATAAACCTACATCCTTAAGGTTTTGGGTTAAGATGTGGTGTCGGCCCACTTATTATGGTTTGTCATTTGGCCCATTGGTGGATGTATCCTTTGCAAAGAGTTTTGGGCTCCCTCATTCCATTTTCCAACAGTGGTATCAGAGCCAAAGGTTTGGCTGGGCTGGGTATTTAGAGATGGTGATGTTTCAAGGCCTCCGCAGAAGGCTAGTGTGACTCCAATACTTAAAGAACAAAGACTTCCGCAGAAGTTGCCTTTAAGGGGGGAGCATGATGTTGGGTCTCATACTTGAGGGGAAGATGTTGGAAGTATTCAAGTATGAGTTGTAATGAAGTACCACATTGGCTAGACCTAGACCAAGTGATGACTATATAAGTGCAAAAAGACCCATAAACCTACAGCCTTAAGGTTTTGGGTTAAGATGTGGTGTCGGCCCATTTATTATGGTTTGTCATTTGGCCCATTGGTGAATGTATCCTTTGCAAAGGGTTTTGGGCTCCCTCATTCCATTTTCCAACAAATACAAGTCAAATCATGAAAATATATTATTAGCCTAATCCATCCACATAGAACCTCTTTTCATCAAACCTCCATAACAAATGAAACACATCCACTTCAAAATCGTCCCTGATAAAACATATGCAAACTTTTGTCAAAACTACTGCCTAGCCACTAGATTTGTAAACTCCATGGAATAGACTACCATTGTCAAAACTGTTGCGTGGCCACTAGATTTATAATCTCCATTTAATAACGACTGCAACGTTACAAACTCTATGTGCCTTTGCATCGCAACTCTAAAGATAAACTATTAACAACAAACATCAATTTCACCAATCCACGTCGAAGTTTGTCTGTCCACAGTCCACATCACCGAATAACACTATCATTAACCCACAAAAACTTTCTTACCTTTCCCTATGTCATAGAATCCATAAAATCAATCACCATTAGGCGTTATAACCAAGAACATAATTATCGTCAGTCAAGGTGATACATTATGAGTCAATAAGTTGTTTAAAGCTGAGATTTCAGGGCGAAAGAAAATTATGTACAAAGGTAAAATTTCTGACTAATGTGTTAATGGTCCAGAAATCTTAAATTAAATGTCTTATTTCCTATAAATACAAATATAAAGTTTTTTTGGTTTGTTTCAATTCTTTTTTTTCTTTTTTTTAATTTGATGATCACCTTAACATTCAATAGTTTGTCGTTATAAGATGCTTATATGCTCAATATTCAGTTCTATTGGAGGAGTATATCTTCAGGGTTACTGAAAGTGTTGAAGATATTTTTCTATTGGAGATATAATAAAGGACCACATGAAAATGGGAAAAGTTTTAAGATAGACTTGTTTAACATTTTAAAATAATGTGCACACTGGTTGGTTACTCATTCGAGCCTCAAGGAGGATGTATCACATTTTTTAAGACCCACCTGATGGTTTAACTAGTATCTTGCTTAAGGACTCAGTTCAGACTGAAGAGGATGTTGCCTCTCCTACTTCTTAATTTTTGTGTTTTATTCTGGGCTTGTGCCCTCTATGTATACAAAAAAAAAAATAAAAAAAAATAAAAATAAAACTGGTATGATACTCTTTTTCATCATGTTCCTTTGCGAGAACTTATCCCTTGCTGAAGAGTTCTATCACTTAATTTTGGTACAGACAAATTAATGAATTTCTTCAATTCAGGTACAGTCTCTGCCTTCGATCAAATGATTATTTAATATTTAACAATAGTTGCCTCGTCCTTCCATTCTACATGATGGGTCAGATACGCTGCACTAGTAATTAAACAAGGCCCACATTATTTTATAACTTTGCTAATCCATAACCTAAAATCACGAGAATAAAACTATAATCTAATCATAAACATTAACAATAAGGCTTGATTCACGAGGCCAGCTCTACTATTTTTTAAGTGACTTTTACATAAAATACGAAATAAATAGTTGCCTGGTGTCCGATTACAATGGCC